TCCTCCCGCCGCCCTTCCCGTGGTACAGATGATTAGGTTAGGTGTGTTTGAAGCCACAGCAGAGAGTGATAGCAGCTGCCCGTGATGCCTCGTGCTTAACCTGAGCCCTTCTCTATTGCCCCCCGAACAACAGAACATGTCCACAGAACTGTCAATGATTGTGCCCCTCCGTTCTCTTTTGATTATTCAAATTAGGATTCACACACTTCACACACACACACTCACACACACACATGCACACACATGCATGCACACACACACACACACACATGCACACACATGCACGCACACACACACACTCGCACACACACACACACACATGCACACACATGCACACACACACTCACATACTGCTCTTATCAAGACCGCCATGATCCCCACTTGCCTAATCCAAATGACCGTGGGTCAGTCTTCCCCGTCCCGGATGTCGCAGCAGCAGAGGACGCAGTCGCACACCGTGCCTGCACGGAGGCCCTTCTTTACTCAACTGCAGGACATCACGCTTTTCCAGGTCCGTCCAACCTCCCTGGCAGCCCCTTTGCTGGTTACGCCACATCTCCCTGCCCCCTATTTGCTATTTAGAGCTGCCCCGGACTCTTTACTTCTTCAACTTTGCTTTGTGATATCACCCACTGTGTTGGCTTCATGTCACCAATAGGCTGATGATTCCCAAATCCAGAATTCCAGCCCATTCCCCTCTCCTGGTTATAATCTTTCGTCTAACAGTATGCTTGAAACTCTGACTCCTTTGTACAAAGACACATAAAACTCAACCTATTTACACTGAACTTCTTCTTTTCTCCCCCAAATCTCTTTCTCCTCCAATATTCTCAGCCTCAGTGACTACCATTTCCATTCTTCCAGCAGCTCACATCAAAAATCCAGGAGACATCCCTCACCCTCTTTGTCACTCACAGCCCACTTCCAAGTTATTACCAATTCCCATGAGCCTGCACTTCAAATTCGTCCAGAGTCCAGTCCTGCCCCACCTCCATTGCCATCCTCCAGCTGCGTCATCTCCTGCCTGGAATGTCCACCAGCCTCCTCTCTAACTCTCTGCTTCTGCTCTTCCTCTACCACACCTGCTCTCTTCTGCACAAAACTCTACAGATGCTCACAGTGGCTGTGCGTTCAGACATGACGCACGCACAGGCTGGGCTTCTCCATGCTCACTTCCTGCTCATGGCCTTTGCCTCCCTCTGTCTAACCACACGGACCTCCCTGTGGCTCCCACACCCTGGTCAGCCTCCTGTGTCTGAGCACTGTGCCTGCTCTTTCCTCTCCTTGGAGACTCTCAGTCACACAATCGAATGCCAGACTCTGAGCCTCCCTCATGTCTTTGCTCAAAAATCATTGACAGAAACCACCAGTCAACCTATGAATGGGAGAAAAAATTTGCAAACCATACATGTGATTAGAGATTAATATCCAGAATATATAAAGACCTCATATGCCTCCACAACGAAAACCAATCTAACCAGTTTAAAAATAGGCAAAAGATTCTGATAGACTTTTCTTTGAAGAAGACATATAAATGGCCTAGGAGCACATGCAAAGATGCTTGGATCACTAATTGTAAGAGAAATGGAATTCAGCACCATAGTGAGATGTCACCTCACATCCATTACAATGGCAACTTTGAAAATCAAACAAATAAAACACAGAAAATACCAGCTCTTGGTGAGTATGTAGAGAAATGAGAACCCTTAGATAATGTCGATCTGAATGTAAAATAGCCACTATGGGAAAGAGTATGGCAGTTCCTCAAAAAATTAAAAAATTAAAAATGGAGGTA